TTTGAAAGAGATGTTTTGTTTGTTGTTTCTAACACTAAAATAAATTTTGTGGTGCAGCAACTTTGAGGAGATCTTTGATGTTGATTGGTTCATTTCACATCTCTCCAAAGACGTGAAGATCATCAAGGAGCTTCCTAAAGAAGTAGAGTCAAGACTCGCAAGGCTGCAGTCCATGCGTGTCCCAAGGAAGTGCACACCCTCATGCTACCTGCAGCGTGTTTTGCCCATTCTTAAGAAGAAGCATGTCAGTGGTTTTCCTCCAAATTAACTATCATGATGATATATATGCTCATCTGCTGCATTCCATGAATTTGCAGGTTGTACAACTCTCCAAATTCGATTACAGGCTGTCCAACAAGCTGGACACAGAGCTCCAGAAGCTGAGGTGCAGAGTGAACTACCACGCGGTGAGATATACAGAGTCTATCAACAAGATGGGCCAACTGCTTGTTGACCGAATGAGAAAAAAGGCCAAACATTTCGTTGCCCTCCATCTCAGGTACCACCACACATTCCATCTTAAAACAAGGTAACATTTTCAAGAACATTGCTAATAAATGTTGCATGTTGGTTCTAGGTTCGAACCTGATATGCTTGCCTTCTCGGGATGCTATTACGGGGGAGGTCAGAAAGAGATACTTGAACTCGGAGCTATGAGAAGAAGGTGGAAAACATTACATGTGAGTTACTTTTGAGTAGCATAGAGAGAAAATATAGGTTGAGTATCTAATTTAACAATATTGGGGGTTGTTTTGCAATATGCAGGCGGCAAACCCTGAAAAGGTACGGCGAGGCGGGAGATGCCCCCTGACGCCAGAGGAGATTGGTCTGATGCTGAGAGGCTTAGGTTTTGGGAGAGAGGTTCACTTGTACGTTGCATCAGGCGAGGTATACGGAGGAGAGGATACTCTGGCTCCCTTAAGAGCTCTGTTTCCAAACCTCCACACAAAAGAGACATTGACCTCCAAGAAAGAACTTGCTCCGTTTACGCACTTCTCATCACGAATGGCTGCTCTCGACTTCATCGTCTGTGATGAGAGCGACGCATTTGTCACCAACAACAATGGCAACATGGCTAGAATCTTAGCTGGAAGAAGGTATAATGAATCTTGTGTCTCCTTAACATGATCACTTGTTCAGTCTCTAATAATTCAAATGTGTTGGTGATGTGCAGGAGGTACTTGGGACACAAAGTGACCATCCGTCCAAACGCCAAGAAACTCTACAAACTCTTCACAAACAGACACAACATGACATGGGATGATTTCTCATCAAAGGTACAAAAATACCAGACAGGGTTCATGGGGGAACCAGACGAAATGAAACCAGGAGAGGGGGAGTTCCATGAGAACCCAACCTCCTGCATTTGTCGAATCTCTGAAACAAAAAGGCTCAATGAAATACCAAAACATAAACATCTAAAAGAGGAAGACTCAACAGAGTATTCAGAAATAGGTAATGTCCCCATAGCCAGTAGAAGCGATTTGGATCAATCAGAAGTTGGTGAAGAGATCTTCTCAGAATAATCTCCTCTTTTTTTTAATGCAAGAATCAGCATTCGTTTTCAATAGAGAAGTTGTTTAAAGGAAAGAAAATGTAATGTCATTTAAGTTGTTGCAAGGTTACAGACAGAAAGAATGGTGTACATATAAATAGACCTTTGTACATACATATCCTTTATCTTTATTAGCTCTCTTGTTTTATTCTTGTAGAAGATCGATCATACATATTCCTCTAGGTGAAAAAAATATTAATAATAATGAATTTGTTTATACATATATAAAGGAGACAATGGAGAGTTTTGAGTATGTTAGTTCCAGATGTGATCGTCGCAAGAATCACAACCTTCCTGAGCAATGTCGGAGATCTGAACTCCGGCGTCGTAGATCTTGCCAACTTCCCAGTTGGCCGGAAGAACCCTCGGAGACAAAGCCATTTTACCGTCGTAGCCAGCAGTAAACACGAACCTGAACTGCAGAGCTCCGGTGGGGACTTTGTCAGTCACCCACACGGCTCCATGGCTTCTGGTCATGTAACCCCAATTGGACGAGCCCACCTGAGCAATGTCGATGGCTACGACTTCGGTTTGGCCTCCTTGGTACAAGAGCTTAATCGCCAAGTAATTAGGCTTTTTGCTTGATTCTTCCACTCTCACCTTCATCTTCTTGTTTCCGTAATCGCAAGGAACTCTGTTTTCATTTTCTTGTTAATTAGTAGTACTAAAAATCAAGAAAAGTTGTGTGAACAGAACAGAACCGAACCGAACCTGCGGTATTCGATGTCGACAATGCCTTGTCTGAGAAGATCTCTGTCGGCGCCGATAACAGGCTTAGCCAAGGCCCTGAAGGCTCTGCTGCTGAGGACGAGATCGGTCTTGTTGGACTTGTTGAGGTCTGTGACCATCACGGTGGTTCCTTTGGTGCTACACAGCTTGGGATTGTTGCATCTGACCTGAAAGCAAGATCCGCAGCCGGCGCCGTCTTTGTAGATGGAAGGCACGGCGGCAGCAATGTGACCGGCGAAGAAACCTGTAGCCAAAGAGCCATAGGCACAAGCTCCGGCTGCAACACATAACAAGAGATGATGAGAAAACCAAAAAAAAAAAAGAAGTGGGAAGAAGCGATAAGGAGAGGGAATGATTACAGGAGAGGGCAGAGGCAGAGGTGAAATAAGAAGCCTTAGAGAGGTGAAGACATCGGTCGCATGCGTCAGCTGATGATGAGAGGAGAAAGACGACTGCCACGAGGAACACAAACCAACCTGTCATATTTTCTGTTCTTTTCCGACACAAAACTATTAGACTGAGAGAGATTGATGATTTGGTGTTTGGGATGCGATGAGAGAAGAGGAGAGAAAGGAGAGTGAATCTATATATATACAAGAAGAAGAAGAAGAGTGGGTGCCAGCTCAGCATGTGGAGCCACACGTCATAATCTGAGCAGCTGGCGTGTATCCCTCAGAAACGAGTAAGGCGTTACTCGGTCATATCTTATGACAACGACAATCTTCAATTCACTTTGACTTATGTTAGTGTAGTAGATATTTATTCTTCACTAATTTACGGAGTTTTTATTTTAGTGTATGTTATTCAAAGTTAAATTTATGGTAAGAAACTGAAAAAAGGAACAAGGTGGGAAACGGAGAAAAGGTAGCATTAAGGTAATAGCAATATATGTTATGATGGAAGAAGACGTGTGCATTGCACCGACTCTTTGCATCACAGCTGTGCCTCCTACTCCTCGGGCCTTGTTCATTTCATGTCGGCCTCTTCTTCTTTTTACCAAAACTTAACCAATCAAATAAAAAAACTATAGGATAATATGTCCCTCACTTCTTTCATACTATTATACTTTATAACATACCAAATTCATGGGTATCATCAGTCGTTTGATTAGTATTTTGATTTGTGGTTTTTAGTAGTTGATTCTCCCGTATACAGGTTGCAACAAATGTACTTGTTGTTTATATTGCAAATAATAAAATGCATAGTACTATTTGATTTTTTTGAACCTAACCAATACATATTTTACTAGTGCAATTGATTACCATCAAAGCAGAATCATATTTTATTGTTTGGTGTCAGAACAAAATTTATGATTTGTGCCTTTGTTTTTGTTCTGAATACATATAAATTAATACTCCATAGAGAGAAGCCAAAAAGTGGATGGATGGCTTTGGGAACGAGTGGAAAGATAAGAACAAATTCCAAAATGTTGGATCTATCTTACATTCCAAACCCACTTTCTTCCTTTTCTCTCCATCACTTGCCTTTGCTTGTACACACACGTTTTGTATTTTTTGCTTTTCATTATTAGTCTCCCGATTAGTATTGTTCTCTTCCACTTAAATCCTTAATTCCTTTTTGCTATCCATATATTCTTTTTGTTGGAGTTATAGAAAGTCAAAAGGAAATGGGAGAGTTAGGTACAGAGATGAAGTTTCCATCCATAATAACAAACTCATTTCCAGTCACAAAAAAACCACTCTACACGGACTAGTAATTACATGCATGACATTACTTAGTATCTTCTGTTCATTACTAATCTAGTCTACTGATGTTCTTATTAACCCCTTACTAAAAATGTTGATTAAAAGGCAATAAAATCTTCAATGTTCAACAGAATTGTAACCAAGAAACATCCATGTGAGAACAACTCTGTCACAACTCTGTCGCATTGATTATGACATGTGAAGATATCTTCATACTCTTCCCTCTCTATCTTTTCTTGTTTCATTGTCGGAGTATCACAAAATACTATATATAAGATTACGATTTGTCTAGCTTACATATCAACTACTGATTTTTTTTTTTGAATAATACATAGCTTCCTGCCTTAGTGCTAAATGGGATTTGATAATGTCCACAACAAGAAGAGTATATCTTTTGATCCTCTTCTTTTCAAGCCCAAATTTGGCCCACTCATGCTCATTGATTATGTTGTAAACCCATGGTTTGTTTCGGCCCACTTAGATTTAGATTAACATTAAAAAATGTATACGGTCCTTTTGCTCTGTTTATTGGGTAACGTGAACCGTCCACACCGACCGACCATCCATTGGTCGGCGAAACGCAGAGTATTTGGACACTAAACCACCTTCCAAAAAAACCCAAACCTTGTTCCGATTAAAGTTATGGACATTAAAATATAGGCTGGTTAGTACAATTTGCCGGCAACACCTTGGTTAAACGTGAACCTATTTGGCTAATTACTAGACTATTAAATTAACTTGTAATTAAAATATAACAGAAAATAAAAGCAGAGAGGGTGTGGTGATGAGCTCGAACCACTATAAATACATTGTCGCTGGGCTATGTGTAACTCATCATCAGTCCTTACAAATCTGCTAAGTAAAGTCTCATTATTGGCAATTAAAAGTGTGTGATAAGTAGTTTGTTTGCATTTCAAGAATCAATGGCGGATCATCCTCGTTCTAGTGAGCAGCAGGAAGCAGATGCTGCAGCTTCCAAAGGCTGTGGAATGTTTGACTTTCTCAAGAAGAAACCCGAAGATGCACCTCCACTTTCTCCCGACAATGCCGGAGTGACCAAGCAAGAGGAGAAGCCTTCTCTCGCTGAAAGACTCCACCTTTCTGACAGCTCTGTAAGCTAGTTGTATTGTATACACACTTGAACTTATATGTGAACAATGTTAATAACACTTGTTGTGTTTGATGACTCCAGTCAAGTGATGAGGAAGTGAGTGAAAATGGGGAA